AAAAAAAAGAAGTAAGTTGAAAAAGAAGTCGTTACGTCTCCATGATTTCCAGAACAAACCTTGACTGATTGAGCTCCCACATAATGATGGCAGCAGGATCCGGGAGAGGGACAATTCGAGAGCTGCGAACGGGCGCGGGGGGCCTGGAGGGCACGCGGACGGAATGAGGCGGCCTGCCTGAACCTCCCTCGGGCAGCGAAGGGCGCAGCACGCGTGGCACTCAGCACCTCCGTCCCCACGCGGAATCGGTGCGCAGCCGAGGCAGCTCCGCCGCCCTCCGGCCTGTCTGCACTGGGCCCGTGTCAGGAACCGGCCACCCTCCCCGTGTCCTCGGGGCTCAGCCTCGCCCCCGAGGCCCACCGGCCGCCGGGGACTCTGTCACACCCTCACAGAGTGTGTGACAAGCTCCCCCGCGGCTGTGGCCAGCTGCTCCCCATCTTCTGACACGCGTGAGCGCAGGCCCTGTCCCCGCGCCCAAGCCCCCAGCTCTCCTGCAGCCGGTGGCACACCACCCTCTCGAAGGCCGGGCCAGGGTTCCCTCGGGCCTCCGTCAAGGCCACTGTCAGCTCCTCAGCACTTCAGTCATTTCCTGCGGCCCAAGCCTCACTCAAGGTCCAGAATCTGCCTGTCACTAGCAGCTCAGAATTGATGTCTTCTGTTAATTGCAGGTCCTCAAAATTCATCTCCTCTTTAATAAAGTCTTTAAAACTGCAATATTCCTAAAACACTCGATCACTGCAAAGCATGAGTCAAGTGACAACGTTTCTACCTGAGGTAATTTCTATCTTAAAATAAAACAACCTTGGTGGCCAAATTGGTTGAAATAAAGATTCCAGATCAAACGAAGGAAGCCAGGAGCACGGGGAGTGCGAGAGCCGGGCCCGAGCTCACACCGCGGTCGGCAGAGCCTCCTCCAGGAAGACTTCCAGGATGGGAACTTGACGATGGTTTGAAGAAATAAAACAATGTCGAAACTCCCTAATCACTAAGTTATTGCTGACACCGACTTTCTGGCTGGTTTTATACTGATGGGATATTTCAGACTCAACAGAGTATTAAGAAATCAGAGAACGGTCCAAATTAAGACACTGATCTTAAATATAAAAGGTTCCCTCGAACTAGGTTTTCTGCTTTTAACTAAACACTATCCACGCCTCTTAGTGAGACGCAGGGAGAGAAAAGATGCTTGAATCACCCGCGAACCAGCTGTCTGTCAGGAGTGGGGTGTGGATGACCACGCACAGGTCCTGGAAGGCCAGCGAGGGGCCCTGAGACCCGACGTCTCCCCTCGACACTTTCTCTAGGCACAGACGTTACAAGGACGCTGAACTGCACTGCGGAAGTGCGGTGGTCTCGACGAGGTGGCTGAGTGACAGTGCCTGGTCTCGACGAGGGGGCTGAGTGACAGTGCCTGGTCTCGACGAGGGGGCTGAGTGACAGTGCCTGGCCTTCTTGTGAGCCGGCCGAGGTACCTACGAAGCCCGGGCACACGAGGCGGGACTGGCCTGCTACGAGAGGCACTCGGAGGAGAGGACAGGGAAAGGGAGCCTTCACCTGTCCCGCCAGCAAGTCCGCACGGTGCCCACGTCCTTCAGTCTCACCGGGGACTCGCCTTCCAGGCAGAGGCCTTGTGGCCCAACGCACCCATCCTGACCCGCGGCAGCACCGCCCCGACAGGAAGTGGTTTGAAGCGCTGGATTAGGCAAGAAGCGTGCTATTCCGGAAGCTCTTCTCGTTCCTCGGAGCCCTCCCAGGCCAAGTCCACCCAGGCGCTGTCCTCAGGCCGCTCACAGCGTCAGAAGTGCTCATGCCAAGCACTAAACCCCGACGGTCAGCTGGCTTCCGTCAGAGAACCAGGGCCTGGCTCCGGCGAAGCCCACGAAGAACGGCAGTCATGTCACATGCACACCTCAGCCTGCGGCAGGGACCTCTCCAGAAACTCGGGAGGGAGGAGAAGTCACACACGTGAAATAAAGAGGTAGCTGCATCAGCAGGGCAAAGCCGACCACACTGCAAGGGTGACGAAGTGACCGGCGGCAGGACTGGAGCGGGGCCTGACGCTCCGGGGCAGCGCTGAGGCAGGGTGGGGGCGGCCAGGACGGAGGACGCGGAGGAGATGCAGGGGAGGGCGGGGAGGCAGCCGGCCAGAGGAGGGGGACCACTGCAGGCCCGGCATGCCCAGACAGGGACAGGCCCTGCCCCCTGGGCCGAAGGCAAGAGACAACACTGGACCTTCCCATCCAAACAGCAAACGGAATGAGCATCACTTATTTCTCTGCCCCCAAAATCCACCAAAATTACTAACTATAAATAAAAGCACGAAAGGATGCACCAACGCTAGACAGTGGGAAAATAGCATCGGCTGACAAGAAACTTGGAGGAACGTCCTAGAAAATATAAGCCTGATGGGGTCAAAGTGATGGGAAAACAATCCAAGGGAGCCGCCCACCACGGGGCCCACACGCCCCTCCCCAGAGGGCGCGTGCCGGGCCTGGGCTCAGCCCAACCCACGGTCGGGGCTGTGCTGTTTGGGGTCCCTGGCTGCAAGGCCGGGCAGAAAGGCGGCTCCCACAGGAGATCTGGGCCTGGAGACAGGTGGGAGCACCAGTGAGCTCCCGTCGGCCAGAGCACACCGCAGCGCAGGTGTACAGCCTTCCACCGTACAGCCCCCCGCCACGGCCCCCGCCACGGCCCCCACGGCTGAGAAGGCTCAGGCCTCCCCAGCAGTCCCGCGCCTGCCAGCTCCATCTCCTCCTCAGTCCCCAACACGAGAGACAGAGGCTACAGGGGTCAGCGGGTAGCCATGACACATAACCAGATAGGACAGCAGCTGCAATAAACACGGGCAGGCGAATTCCCCACATAAAGGCAGACTCTCATCTCAGGGGAAGAAACAGCAGAAGCCAGCTCTCTGCTCGTGACAGAGACAAGCCTCCAAGAGAAGGCCTGGAAGGCTCGGGTGGCGATGGTGAGCCGCTTGTCCACCAGAGGAAACCAAGAGCTAAAACCCTTTCGCGAACAGCAAAAGCTTCCTGGCAAAGAAACGGTAAACAGAGAAATACACGGTTTTGTTAAGAGAACTGGCTACCGTGAGATACGGTCATTAATTTTTCAGCACTGAAAATCACATTGAAACAAAGCAAAAAATGATCAGTAATGAAGAAACAATATTACAAACTATAATCATAATAGAAAACTTCACATTTCCCCATAAATGGAACCGACAAAGAGGAAAGCTATACTAATCTAAATAACGAGTTAACATGTACGAGTAACATATAGAAAAGAAATACATGTTCTCTTATATATAAGTACATATGAATGAGGAAATTTTATAAACAACATCAATGCACATATATAAACTTCTTTAGACAAAAAAAAAAAATGATAAAAGACATTCTCTTCACAAGCCTGGGTGGCACGTACTAGACCTGACCACGTCTGCGCCGGGCCACAGAAGCGTGTGTCCCCGTTCACATGGCCGCGTGGACCCAGTGGTCCTCCCCTCGCAGGCCGACGGGAAGGGAACGGACCGAACCCGCCCAGTGCCTGTGCAGATGGACAAGAATATGCCTCCTCGTGAACTGTAACTAAGAAGACAAGTTGAGACACAGATTCTGGAGCGACCTGAGTGCAAACCTAACATTCCAAATGCACAAACACACCGCCTGAGCCAGGCCGCCTCCTGGGACGGGCCCAGCGGGGCACTTCCAGAAGGATCCGTACAAACTATACGTAAGATAATTGCTCGATGCCAACTGCGGCTGTTATAAACAGTGCTGCAACCATATAAACGTCCGTGTCTGAATTATCAAAAATAAGTTGGGTTTATATACGTACCGACACCAAAAGATGCTCATAACACAGTAAAATGGGAAAAAAGGGAACCGAGATGCCCCATGTGGGACGATGACAGCCTACCGCACATTCGCACGCCGCCCGTGTGGGGACGCAGGAGGCGGGCAGGCTGGCTCGGCTCTCAGGGAGGGACAGTGGCACCGCTCAGGTCTCCTTCACGCACTTCCATCCCAACTGCTTAGTTTGGTTTTACACACCGTATCGATCAACTTAAATCAATAAAGCCTTCGTATCTAAACACACCCGGGAGTCCTGCCCTGCGGAGCCTCGGACAGCTCCGATGGGCCGAGGGAGGGCGTCAGGACACCCTGGCCAGTCCCAAGGGAGAGGCCCCGCGCCCGGCCTGCACTCTGCAGAGCCTGACCCCAGGCCTCGCGGACAGAGGACGCGCAGCATCTGTGCAAGTGGACTCAGGACGGGCTGATATCTAGGTGCCTCCAAAAGCCACGTTGCATGGAAGTGGCAGCACGCTGGGCAGCACCTGGTGCCAGCTCTGCAGGAGCCCAGACCTGTCAGACAGAACGAGGACTCCGAGCTTCCATCAGGTGACTGTGCATGACTTTGCAGGGGGACAAAGAGAAGTCCCGAAGGCGTGTGCCTGTACGCACCTCTGAAGCTAAGGGCCAGGCAAAGCTGGTTTCCAATCCCGTCTGGCCACCTACGAGCTCTGTGACCTTAGACAAGTCGCTTCCTCCCTCCAGGTATGAGATTTTCAGGGCACGGAGAAGACTAAGAGCGTGTGAGGGGCTCAGGACAGCTCCCCATAAAAGTACGAACAGCAAGAGCAATTCTCATGGCCACGCGCCAGGCCCAGTCACAGAGGCACTGCCACCCCAAGGTCCCCACGAACGAAGAAACTGGATGCGAAACTAACCGGCCGTTAGGCACCACCTAGCTGAAAAGCACAGCTCTTTTCTCCTGGCATCGAAGGACCACGTCTGCCGCCCAAGTCAAATCAACCCAGGACAGGACCGAGGCTCCTGGGGGCTCCTCAGAGTTCCTTTCCCCAGATAAAGAACCCACTGAACATGGAACGGCCAGAGACCACGGCAGCCATCGTCAAGGAAAACAGGTCTGCGTCCCAGCGGCCAGTGGCGGCCCCCGTGAGCCTCCTGCAGCCGAGCAGGGCCCCGTCCGCTTACCTGGGTGGCTTTGGGAGCTCATTGCTAGAAGCGTCTGCTCCTGTCGGCGACTCACGATGGCTCAAAATTCCCACGTAAACAATAGCTCCAAAGGGCCCCAAAGTCCCAGGGACACATGCAAGTCCAGCAATGGGAGGGCCGGGCCCCGGCGACTGCGTCTCACAGGCCAGGAGGTCGGAGGGGGCAGGTGTCCCGCGCTCTCAGGAGAGGACCTGTAAGGTGACAGAAAGGATGCGTCAGTCAGGGTGGGGCTCGTGCGACAGCAGCATTCCCCCCACCCCCAGCCCTCGAGCACCACGCTTTCCACTCCCGCCCCGGGACTGGTGGAACCATTCACGTGGCCTCGGCCACTGATACGCAGCACTCGGGGTTTTGTTGGTAAGTAAGTGTGAACAAGTGTAGAAACGAGTCTGTCGGGCAGGGTCGCTCCACCTCGGCACCGTCAAAGAAACGCCTCGCAGGACAAACCAGTGCGCGCCCACGGCCACCACACGGCTCCCGTCCGCGCACGCCCCCCGCCCCCCGCCCCGGCCTCCATCCTCCGACACTCAACGCTGACGGCGCCGCAGCCCCAGAGTTTGTCTCGATCAGCTGGCCTCACTTAAGGAGGCCCCATGTTTCCGTCTTCACAATTACCATTTTCTCAGTCGATTTCCATTTTCTCATTATAAAAGTAATACGTGCTCGTCGCAGGAACGTATTTAAAAAGTCACCCGTGATGCCATCACACAGGGCAAACGCTCGGTGATGTTTTGACACTTTTCCTTCGCCGTTTGCCCACAGACGGCTAGCGCTGTAGCTGCACGGCCCACTCTCTCTGCTGACATTACAGCCAGGAATCTTCCAGGGTCATTAACTACCCCTGGTGACGCTGTCTGGGAGGCTGCCTCTGTTCCATTTGTGATCAAAGCTGCCTGTCCCCCACTCCGGGTGGTTCCGATGAGCCTGTCACAGGGCCCTGTCCCCAGACAAAAGGGCCACGCTCATCAAATCCCTGCCCCAAGACCAGCTTCTGCCACAGACCCGTCACTTAACGGAGGAGCCCAGAGGTAAGTACAAGTGTGTGGTGGCATCCTGGGTGACTTGCTAACTTTCCTGCGATGAGCATGTATTACCTTTATCATCAGAATACAGAAATGAACTGAGAAAATGGTAGTTATGAAAATCCTATTGCCTGTCATCTTCCCTTACAAGTGTGACAAATTCCTGTTCTTGATTAAATTACTCGGGGTATTTTTTTTCCTGCTGCTTATAACCAAAGAACCCTTCCCAGCATGTCACGCAAGAGGCCACTCACGACAGCTGGCTCTTTAGGTGGTTTCCAAGTGCACGTCCCCTGCAAATCTGTGATTAGCGTCTTTACAATTATTGTTCTGTATCTGGTTGTTTCCGTATGAAACACAATGGCTTAGCTCAGGGTCAGAACTTTTACTGGCCAGAAGGAACACCATTTTCTCGCAAGCAATGTCGATGGTACGTTTTGCAAATCCTTGCAAATCACAGACTTCACAACTTGGCTGGCATAAAAGTCTCAGACCACAGACATTTCTCCCTCAAAATCTGTAGACACTGCCCCACCCTAAGCACAGCAGCAAACCTCCCGGCCATCAGCCAGACCGTGCCTCCTCCCCAGGGAGCCTCTGCAGGACTGACTCCCAGAGGTGCCCTTCCACAGCCGTCACTGTTACTCCATTCTGTCTGGATTCTGCTGGAGGTTTTCTTAATCTTAAAACTCAAACATGGCAGCAGACGTATGGTAAGAGCCTCTTCCCCTTCCTCGTGTTACGTGTGCTTCGGCTTCGTGGGGTCCTGCGCTGCCTGGCGGGCCCGGCCCTGCGGGCGTCTGTGGTCCGCTCTGCGTTCCCAGGCATCTTCTCCGGTGAGTTCGCCGGACACCGCTGCTTTCCACATCGGTTTTACTCCTCACGGTTCTGCTGCAGCTTTTAACCAAACCATAAGCTCTTTGTTTTCAACCATTTCCCCTGACGACTCATCCCAACACCTTCTCGGCTCGCTTACCCGTGACCTTCTGCTCCTGTCTGCAGGGTCCCGTCTTCTCCTAGACAAAATCCTTCGAAATTTCTGATTTCAACCATAAATCATTTTCAGAGGCACCACCGCCTTCTGCGTTTCCGGAGCGTCCCCTCCCCCCACATTCTGAGACCCCTTTGCGAGGCCCAGTGGTGGTGATTATTTCTGTTCGTTTAGCCTCAAATCAGAACATCTCTAGCCAGACCTGTTCTGCCCAGCGCTGCGCCCACGGCGCCCTGGTTCAGGCCCATCTCCCGGCCCCGCGCTGTGGCCGCAGGCACAGC